GGCAACATCGTCGCAAACCATCTCTCCCGCATTTACATTGCTTCTGTTGTACCTGACTTTAGAATTGATTAGCAAGACATGACAGCAGTACATAAATGTGAGCGCAGTCAAATGCCGCTCGCCAATGGCCAATACTGACGATGACACAGGTATAGATGCCACAAGCTGCCAAGATCTGGTGTGACATATCTACATGAAAGCATCGTCCTTACGTCCCTTTCGCCATGTGGATATTGGTCTTCCAAGTCGTACATGATTTGGAACAACCTACGATCTACGTGCGTACAATGCACTAATCCCAGACCGTTTCGTTTGACCAAGAATGCAAGCAGACATTGACAATTGGACAAAAGACTGTCCAGTTTGGCAAAAGGACAAGGTAGAGAGCCACACGAATGCCCCTATAGGCAGTTCTGAGCTAATTTTAGAGGGCTTTAACCACATCCACACGGACATTATGGGTTGACTTACACCTTCTAAGGAAAATCGATATCTCCTTACCATTATGGATTGTTTCACACAATAGCCAGAAACCATTCCAATGCAAGACATAATGGCAGAGACAGTTGCGAGAACATTCGTCACTCACTGGGTTTCAAGATATAGCACACCGACAACCATCCCAACCGACGGATTCAGACAATTCGAATCCGATCTTTTGGGCTAACTTTCCCAATTATAAGAACGAAAAGGATTTACTCGTGCGCATACCAACCGCAAGCTACGGGTTTAATGGAACGCTTCCACATTCAGCTAAAAGCCTGTCTGAGATACTAGAGGAACCTGGACAAGTGGACAGACAGTTTGCCTCTAGTCCGGTCGAGCTTGCGGACCGGGATCAAAGAGGAAGCCGACTGCAGTCCAACAGAAATGGTTTGCGGATGCTAGTTACGATTGCCTATTGAATTATTTTCCTCTACTAACTTTGGAGTACCGTTTTTTGATAACGTTAGAACTTTGACCGATTTGATGGAGAAACTACGCAGTATACCTTTCAGACCAAATACATGCAAGTCTGAAGTGCATAAAGATATTATGGCTTGAAAAGATATGTCTATGTCTGAGATGATCGAGTACTGCCACCAGTGGCCTTCATCATACAATGACCCTTTTTACGTCATCTTCAGAAGCGACAATCACTTTACTTTATTATAAAAGGCCATTGAAAAATGGTAAGCACAGACAGGCTCCTCTTGAACAGCTGTCGATTGGCTTTACTGGAAGATTCATGCTGACGCTGTTTCCGAGGCAATCTCCAGGGACATACCAGATACAATTTGTTTTATAGCATTGGAATTTCTAACATCTAAAAACATCTTTTATAGGATAATCATTTACCCAAAGTTAGAGATTGACCTTCAGTTGAATTCAATTCACACAAATGATGGCAACAAATAAATCAGGATAAATGAACAAAGATAATAAGTTCGCACGTTGATTTTAATTGACGTTCAACACATCAAATCTTTTTTTCCATAGCATTGCTAAACGGGGCGATCAAAATAAAAGTTAAAAGATAATTTAAATAAGCCTCATAAAGTAGAGGAAAAGGTTAGAAAAATAGGGCACAGGACATAATAAGGGAAGAATGAGGAAGTATGCTCTCATTGTCATTATTTGATTGGAAATACAACTGGCAGCCGCTTCCAAAAAGTTTAAAGCCGATTTAGAGTATAGCGTAGAGCTACTGTTTGGAGTGAAGAGGATATGATGTGATTAAAGCTCTCTAACGTAGAGCTTTTGGCTATACTAGGATCATTCTGGAGGCAACTTCATTTTTATCATAAATGTAAAGAAATTATGACCATTAGTGATTTTCTAAAATATATGCGAATAAACTACAACATATAACAATGTAACTATGCTTCCCAGCAAATATTTATAAATTATTAGGTGCATATGTACTGGATATGATAAGAATATGTGGTGTAATAAAATCACATATGTTCTCCTTACAGCGATTAGGCATGAGTAATAGTTAAAACTAAATAAAAAATAGCGGCTATGGATTTGATGCTGAGTGAATTTAATCGAAAAGAATTAATGAATCTAGACATTAGTTTTTGGCAAGAAGTCAGGCAGGAGGATTATAAAAGAGGCATTAAGGTTGAATCGTTCCAATAAATCACTTCAAATGGACACATCTTGAATATATCTTAACTGCGACCACACAAAAGGCCACGTCATCTCGGATTTCATACCTTTAATGAAAGTGAAGTTTACGGTCAATTCGATTGATGGCATTTAAAGCTCTGAAGAATAGTAATTTGGAGCTAAGAATTAAGTAACTTACGATGGTTCCATATACGATGCATGAGACAACTTGGAATGTATTAAATCAATTAAGATATCCTGAAAAATCTGTGAAAATCTATATTAAAATCTATCCTAGAATAAGTTCAAGACAATTCTGGATAGCAAAAGTAGAATGCTACAACACTATTACTGAAAAATAGAATATTCGAACAATGTATAGGAAAACATTAACACTTTTTTCGATATTTTTTGGACCCTCTGTCTATGCTTACTAGTTAAAATGTTTTGTGCTCAGTCCGTAAACCTAATTTTATAAACATTCGTTAAACGGCTTCTTAATAAAGTAGATGATATGAGATTGGGCAGTTACAAGGGATTATGCAAGATAATAAAAGAAGGCTATGCGTGTGATGACAGAATATTCATTTTTCCCAAACAATAATTTGAATTTTTACATAGCATTAATACATGCACAGTAAGATTAAGATTGATCATATGATAACTTGTGCCATGAAGAGATATATAACTTTTTGTACTTTAGGATACTCCCATTAAATTTTGTTGTATTTGCCTTTATTTCATGTATAATTGTCTGAAAAAAATATGACAGATTATTTCCGTTTTCGGATGGTACTAAAATTTTCATGTTGATGCATTTTTAGAGATATTATTCCTCATTTAGGCTAAAAATGAAAGGGAAATTAGTCATGTGACAGCATTCATCAGAGTCTAAACTCATTCTTGCAAAAGCTTAAATTAACCACAAAATTAAGGAGATTTGCTGACTCTACGATATCTAATATATATACTTAACTAAAAACTTAAAAAATAT